TGCCATGCACATCATCACCCGTCTCCTCAGTCCTACCGCTGGTGAAGTCGAGGGTTCCAGTTTAGGGTTTAGGGCTTAGGGTCTCTAGACCCTAAACCCTAAACCCTAAACCCTAAACCCTAAATCTAGTACGTTCATAGTTTACGAAGCCCAGCAACCCATGACTTAGCAAACTGGAGCCCTAGGGTTGGTGAGGTCATGGGTCTTCGTTCCCGTAAGGCTTATAGGATTTAGGGTTTAGGGGTTAGGGTTCTACACCCTAAACCCTAAATCGTGGTTTATAGGGTTTAGGGGTTTAGTAGGTTTAGGATTTATGGGTTTAGGGGTGTGCCCGGCCCGGATTCCAGGAGCGTTACAGACCCGGGCACTTCGACATGGTCGGCAACAGCCATCAGCACTTTGGCATGGACAGCTTCGATACAAATTGTAGGAACCTGAATACATAATTACCCAGAATTACTTTGCTGGGGGGGGTTCGTTACTGAGACTATACCATGATATACCCCGAAATCCCTGTTCTAATTATAACTTGAAGGCCCCTATATTATTACACCAATACGCTGCTTGCCAACTCCCGAGACTGCGGTCCTGGACGGGCCTCCTGTAGCCCTGTCACACGAAGCTGTGTTCTCCTGTTTCTGGGTTGTTCTTTTCTTGGTTGTCTCTGTCTTTCTGTAGAGCCATCGGGGTTGTGTAGTCTCGTCTGCAGTTTCTTGCAGGCTGTGGCATGTGTTTATCTACGGTGCGATCGCAGCGTATTCCGAAGTGGCTCTTCTGCACTGGCCTCACAAGCCCTTTCAATCTAGTAGCCACGATGCGGTGGTAGAGTTCAGAAGAGAATTCTTTGTGATGGCAGTTTCTCACTCAATGGTGGTAGGATTAGCACCAGTGCTGGTCAGTTCTTTTGAAACTCGTCTCCTTTGACCAGTGCTGGAACACCAGAACTGTCCAGCTAGTTTGGAAGAGTCAGTCCTGTTGTCACTGTCATGGTGGCGCTGGCTTTCGTTGGCAGACGGTCAACAGCTCCTGTTCCTGCCGCTGTAGCTTTGAACGGGTTTCGGCTGTCTAAATCCACCCATCATGCTGTGAGGAGCTGCAGCCAGCCATCCACATCCCACAAACCCCAGACCCTAAACCCCGAGCAATTGAAATACCATGCCCCTTGGCCCGAAAGCCCGATAGACTCGAGGCGTTGGTGACGGTTTTCTCACTGACAGCTTCGCCTGCCTTCTGCCTCTGAGATGCCCTAAAGTGCGGTTTCCTTGAGCCGTGCTGAGCTCCAAACTCTTTAAGGGGTCGAAGCCTTCGGCTCTATGCCACTTTTGAGATTCAGGCCGACCAGAGGCCCGGGGTTGAGGGTTTAGGGTTTATAGGGTTTATAGGGTTTGGGGTTTATAGGGCTTAGGGCTTTTAGGGTTTATAGGGTTTAGGGCTTTTAGGGTTATGAAGCCCCCGAAATGATCCGGGTTTCCGGGCTTTTGGTCCTGTGCTCTGCGAGCAAAAGCCGCGACCCAATGCGGTCCGAATCCTTTTGCGCCAAGGCTGCATGGAGGAAATGCTTCTGGTAATTACTGCGGCCTGCATTTGCTCCTTAAGCCCTGTAAAACCCTTAAGCCATTCCTAATGGCATGGTGGACCATTCTGCTTCAACGGGCTCCGTGCTAGATGGAGGGGATTTTAGGGTTCAGGGTTGCTTCGAATTTCGAGTTTAGGGTTTGGGGATGAGGGTTTAGGGTTTAGGTTTTAGGGTTTAGGGTTTAGGGTTTGGGGATTAGGGTTTCGGGTTTAGCTTTTAGGGTTTAGGGTTTGGGGATTAGGGTTTAGTAGACTTTTTTGAGACCCAGCATGAATCAGAATCTCTCAAGCCTAAAGCCCTGCTGTGTCCGAACAGCGCTTAGGGTTTACCTGGGCCATGAAGAACCTCCCGTTTTTGGGGCTCGTTATTATGATTTCCTTATATAGGTCCTTAAAGAGGTAGGTTGTTTGGTGTCTAGGTTGGGCATGAGTCTATGAGCCAACTATGCGCCAATGTCTTGGGAGGCTCAGCAACGCAAAGCCTGATCTGGTTTGTACTCCTAAACCCTAAACCACTAAACCCAAAACCCCTTAAGCCCTTATAAACCCCTGAACCCTAAACCCATATATAAGCCATAAGCACTAAACTCTGGTTCCGCTTAGGGCCCTCGGTTACAAGAAACCAAGCGAGTCGTAGCAGAACCCTAGGCCCGTAACCCCTAACCCCTGAAAAGGAGCCCACACAAAACAACAATAATCCAATTGTTCAGGGTTTAGGATTTTGGGGTTTTTAAGGTTACAACACCAAAAGTACCCTTTCTGGGCCATGACCGCGCCCCTCAAAGCAGCCAGCGCCCCACTGCGGCGCTTGCTGGTTTGGGACTACGTGGCGCGGCCTGTTGAGTGCGGTTGGGGGGGGGGGGGGGGGGGCTGAGGGCAGGGTTGCGCAGGAGGGCTCAGGCTTTGCGTCCCTGTCTCGTGGAGGTCGCTGCATCCTCGTCCTGTGGTGAAGTGTTCAGGTTTCAGAGCTCTGGGGGACTTGGGGTTTTGCGGTTTACGACCTACCTGTGGTCTCCATTGTAGTTC